CCTCCATTAGGTGTCTATTCTTCCTCTCAGCTACCCCATTCTGTTGAGGAGTGTAGGGACAACTGGTTTGATGAACAATGCCTTGCACGTTGAGATGTTGCTTGAATGCTGTGCTGGTGTATTCCCCTCCATTATCTGACCTAAAGATTTTTATCTTGGCATGAAAGTGATTAGCAACATAACTTTGAAAATTCTTGAACGCATCTAGCACCCTATCTTTAGATTTTAACAAAGTTAACCATGTGTATTTAGACTTTTCATCTATAAATGTCACAACGTACTTATGTTGTTCTCTAGATTCACATGGTGCTGTCCATACATCAGAATGAACTAAGTCAAAGCAATTTTCATAAATAGTCATTGATTTAGGAAACACTGATCTACAATGTTTTCCTAAGATACAAGCTTCACAATCATTTTTAAAATAGATATTAGGCAACATGATGTTCAATGCTCTAGAATGGGGGTGTCCTAATCTAGCATGCCACATTACATCTTTAGGGAATTCAGAAACAGAATTTAAAGCACAAGATAAATCAGAAGCAAGCATTGTGTCCTCAAGCAGGTACAAGTCCCCTTTGGTTCCACCTTTGCCAAGCAACTTACTACTCTCAATATCCTGAAAGTAAACTTCATTAGGAGTGAAAATCANGCAATGTATGAAGCATTTAGTGAGATACCAAGAGTTTTAGAGATACCAGAATGGTCTTTTAAGGCTTTGATGAGAGCCTCTAAGTCAGACCTCTTGATGCTCTCATCCTGGTGGGTTCTAGCCGTGGAGTAAGAAGATGAACTCGCCATTGCCCTTCCCATACCAGTGTTGGAGCCCATTGAGGAGTATCCAGAAGTTCTTGGTTCCATGTCATCCGTGGAGAGGTGAGCTTTAGCATCTTGATACTGGCTCCTTTGTTCCCTGAACTTGTTTGGCTTCAAATGGGGGTGTAGTATCCAGCATTTGTCCTTCATGTGACCCTTCTTCTTGCAGTGATCACACACCACAACCTTCTTTTCATCTTGCTTGTACACACCCTTATTTGCCACTGCTGCCTCCACTTGATTGACCACTACAAGTTCTCCTTTGCTTCCAAATAGTCCCAAGGACCCTTCTTCCTTCTGTATTTGAGCACAGACCTCATCCAGAGTTGGTAACTTATCAGCCCTCAATATGTGTTTGACAAGATCATTATATGTTGGGTTGAGAGTAAGCAGCAACCCAAAGACCTTATNTAATAGCCCTTTTAACTTCAAAAACTCGAGTTAGATTGGAGATGTTTCCATAAACCTTACTAAGAGTTTCCCATAATTCTTTGGAGCTCTCACAATACGAATAAGCTTCCAAGATAGCTGGATCCAGAGAGTTTTGAATGACTGAGAGCACTAAGAGATCCTCCTGACCCCATTTATCTTCATCAGTCACTACCACCTCCTTTCCATCCTCTCCTTGTGTGGTTGACTTTGGTACTTCTCCAGAAGCTACATGACTCCAAAGTCCTCTTCCACCAAGGGCAGTTTTCACCAATCTGGACCATAAGAGATAATTAATCCCTTTTAGAGTCACAGGGATGGTAATAGGCTTCATTTTCTCCATCTTTCACTGCTATTGACCAGTGGATAATAGAGTGAATCTTGGAAGGAAATGAAGTAAGAACAGAGATTTTGCTTTTGCGGAAGTAAAGAGTAGGTTCAGAAGCCTTGTGGCTCTGATACCATGTTGAAATGTGAGTATTTAGAGACTGGTTAGTTTGAGAAGAAGGAAGAACAACAAGAACAGAGGAGAGAAGGTAGTATTTTCGTGAGAGAGAGAAGAGAGGAGAGAGAGAGTTACACAAGAGAATTTAATTCTGAGGAAAACTGTTTCCTTGACTTTTTAGGTTGCTTACAACATGTATTTAAAGTCAAATTAGGCTTACAAGGACAGGAAATTTAATATATAAAACTCAACCCACTTGCACCTGCTTTGTCCAGAACCCCCAACGGTCTTCTCCTCTTTAAACCAATTGTAACCTTCTCAAACCAATTGTAACCTTCACCATTCGAATAATTATTCTCCTCTAGTCCTTTTTATTGCTTCATGTTCACGGCTTATGCGTGACTTTACAAGTGGAGATCGCATCAGGGTTGATCAAAGCACCATTTCATGTTATGGGTACATTGTTATCTTCTTCCATGTACATTTAATAATCCACTTCTCTAGTCATAAATTATTGTTATTGCTTTAATATAATACTGTTGAAAAATCCAAGATTTGGCGCCTCAGATTTTATTGTTCCTGTTTTGAGAATAAGTAACATTACATTTGTAGCTATATCCATGGTAATTCACATTCGTCTTCTTCTTTTCCGTCTTCATTTGCCATATCGCCATTGAGAATCCATGTCCCGTCATCACTTTTAACCATCCCTTTGTTCTCAAGAATCCATAAATCCCCAGGGACTAAGTACTTATCTTCAAAAGCATCTAAACCGTTATTAACCAGCTCGATATCCCGGTTAACCTCCACCTTGAGTCCCGCTCGATTGTATTGTGTCCCCGCCACGCCTTGCAAGTATGCCTTCAGGTTATGGAAATGGGGCAGTTTAATAGACCGTTTCAGGTACTCTTCTTTCAATGTGTTGATATGGAGCTCCTCCCCAACATCTGTGAACCTGAACAGCGGGTAATGCGGGATGAGATCAGGGACATTTGCTATTCTCAAGATGTTGAGTTTTTTGTGAGACTCGACGAGTGTTTTGAAGTTGCGGTCACCAATGCGTGGACTACCGAAAGCGAAAACCGTGACACAAGAAAGCCTGTCTTGTTCAAGACTTGTTGTGATCTTTGGCCATTCGTTATGGAGAAAGTCTGTTGCTGACAGAACCGAGAGAACTGCTCCCAAGCTATGCCCTGTTATGGTGATGCTAACTTCTTCGTGTTTGTACAATTCTAGTAACCTTTTGAGCTCTCCTTGAACCTGACAACCAAACCAATGGGAAGAAAAGTAATAAAACCAAAAAACACATTTTCTTTATGTATTTTCAAGATTATATAATAAAATCAGTGACGTTAAGTAATAAAATAAAATAAAAACAAAACAGAACCAAAGTTTAATGTAAAAACGATCATAAACACATTTTCTTTATTTTTTTTTTTCAAGATTAGAGATATAAATGAAACCAGTGACGTTAAGTAGAAAAATAAAATAAAAAACAAAACAGAACCAAAGTTTAATGAAACCAGTGACGTTAAGTAATAAAATAAATAACCAAAGTTTAATGCAACGATCATAAAGACCCATGTGAGGATAATAACCTGTTCTTGTGCACTGGTCTTGTCAAAACGTGAGCGTGGATCAGCGGTTGTATAAAGAGAAAGCCACCCACTGGCAATGCGAGGTGGGTCACTCGGGTCAGCTCGAGGAAAAATCGAGAGAGCTGATTCAAGTGGGAAATCAAAATCATTAGCCCACTCGTACAATTGAATAGTCCCACGCCATGCTACAACAATATCTCTTCTCCCTAACAATTCCTTGCTTTCGTCTGTAGCCACCGCAATGTAACCTAACCAGTTAGACTCTTTGTTCCATGCTTCTCTTGACAACGGGTTGATCATGAAACATTCTGGTAACCTTATTGACGATGTTCCATATAAATACTTTGTCACCTCGTACCTGGACATGTTACATCAAAAATATAACCTAATTTCTCAACGTGAAACCGTGTGAGACAAGTAGATACGTTTTTTTCACCTGAAAGGATTGGCTTTGAGGTAGCCGGTGCGAGCAAAGAGCTCTTCCTTAGTGTAGCAGCTATCTCCTACATGTTTGGACCGTAGGCCACTATTGAAGGTAACGTACCCAACCTCAACCATGTCGCCATAGTGGAGGATGTAACGGCGTAGATCCAAGTCAAGAGGATCAAGCATGTCTTTCCATTTGCTATTGCCGCTCAATTCTTTCCATCTCTTAGCGATATCTCCCATCATTTTCACTTTTTCGTCGGATCCAAACCTCCTCAACGTTCTCTTTGTGGCCTTGTAAATTTTGATGGAGTTTTCATAATGTTTGGAGAATTAATGCGTGAAGTATTGGTCTTGGATACATAACAATCACATAAGTTTTGCCTTACGTTTAAGACCTTAAAGTGTATATTTGCACGTTATAATTAACCGCTTGGGTTAATAAAAGTAATACAACAAATATATTGAGAAAAGAGTTGTCACTGTTTAATTAGGCTGTGTAGATGTAAATATATAGATAGTTTTGTGAATATAAAAAACAATTCAATGTTTTGTTTGTACATATATGTAAATTATTAATTTGAAATTTTAGTGAGATCATATATTTACATTAAAAACTAAATATATATTTTATTTTTTAGGTTTATTTGTGTTATATTTTTTAAACCGGTCAAACTTAAAAATATTGTATTGATTATACTAAGAATTTATTAAGTATTAATTTGTAGAGTCTTTACTGTAAAACTACTTAGTATTACTTATGACAGAATAGTCCATATTTCAATTCTCGCAAGTCATAACCTATACTTTTTTTTGGCATCTCATAACATATACTCGTCTTCGCCACAAATTTAATATCCTTACAATTTGTACAAGTCAAACTCATAACCAAATACCAAACCAAACCGAATTTAATTGGGCAACATTTGATTTAAACCAAATTAACTAAAACCAAACCAACTGAACTAACTTTGCGAACCGAATAGCATGTCTAATCTTGAGCAAACCAATATTTTAAAAGAGAATCATTTTGAGAAGATAAAGTATAGATCGTGACGTTGCAGGAACTCCTTTTCAACATCAATGCATGTACAATATTTCGCAGTCATATCTCAAAACAATCTTTCTTTATTTATAAATTTATTGTTATATGATATGACAAGTGTTTGATCTGTCAACCCCAAACCTAAAAGAAAGAAACGAGCCGTACAAAACAAACAGAAAATGTAAAATAGAAGAATCAAGAAAACAATTATTACACAACCACCATGGGAAAGACTTTTTCTTCCATTAACATTATACAGAAACACATGTGTACTCGAAATCATACAAAGATGTTAAATAAGAACTTGATAAAAGACAAGGACCTTGATTCATTATGACCAGAGGAACCTCTTAAGCTGCTTCTTATGTTTTGCTTATACATTCTTTATGTACAAAGAGAGTGCTTAATTACTTACATTATAAGTGTAACCATAAACATTTTAAAGAAGCTCCCATTCAGATTCTTCTGATGATTGATCTTCATCAATCTGCTTCGAACTGTCACCACATTCTCTACCCTTTTCGACATCTTCAGCATACCATTGACGAGCAAGTCGCTTGTATTCTTTCTCTCTGTTTTGCTTCATTCTTGAAGATATTGCGTCCCGGATCTTCTGCACAATCAGTTTATTATCATTTATAAGGTTTATGTGATGATAAATGCAAACGAGAAAACAAAGGAAAAGAGACAAGAACCTTGTAAGGTTTGTGTTTGTCATTCTCCTTCCTGTCAGGAAAAACACAATACAATTCGTCTCTATCCACAATGATACAGCTTTCTTCAACTGATCTTCCACTAAGCTGTTGAAGAATCTCTGCTTTCTTCTCTGCCTCTGAGATAGAACTCGAACTAGTTTTAGTTTGCACTGAATCCTCATTGGTTTCCTCTAAGCAATCTGAAAATAGAAGAAGCCATAATCAAGATTTTAAGTGATTCAAAGCTTGAGCTGTTTTCATTCCTGTGTATTTCAGTTTTCAATGCAAGCAACAAAGAATGATAATGAATGGAATGATCATCAACTTCCTAAGGATATAGAACCTATGCAATGTGTCCAAAAGAAGTTAAGAATAAAATGAGATATAAAAATCAAAAACCTTACCATCAGATCCTGCAGGTAAGCTTGTGGCAACAGGTGGTTGAGTCTCTAAGTCTTGGCTCTTAATAGAGTTAGTAACCGCAGGACCGTGTTCACTTTCGGTTCTAGTCTCTGAATCTTGACTTCTAACAGGATTAACCACAGTAAGACCGTCGTCACTTTCGGTTCTAGTCTTTGAAACTTGACTATTAACAGGATTAACCACAGTAAGACCATGGTCATTTCCAGCTCTAGTCTCTGACTCTTGACTCCTAACAGAGTTCACCACTGTAAGACCGTGTTGACTATTGCTTCTATGGTCTTTCTGACACACCTTTTTAGAGATGAGTCTTGCTACTTCAGCTGGAGGAGAATCACTTGACTTAACAGTCCCAACATCATCTTTGACACGAGCTCTATGAACCACTGATAAACTAGTTGAATCATTCTGTATGTAAGGCCTAGTGACTTGATAAAGATCCTCTTTCTTAGAAACTTGTTTGCGACCGAGCCGTGTTCTTCTGTAAGAACCTCCGTAACTATACTGCCTTGGAGAAGTACAGATATCGTAATCATCAGCATCAACACCACGGAACTTCATCTCACATACATCCTTCTTTCCCTCAGTTACCTCTTGTCCTTGCTTCACATCTCTGGTTTTCTGGTTCATGGTTTCTTTCTTCTTCTTGAAGGAACAAAGAGGAGCGTATTCATGTAACATAGAAACAGGTAACTGTTTCCCGGAGCCTACAGAGTCATCAGGGTTGAAATCTTGAGCCACATCAGAACAGAATTTCTTTAGAGAGTTTCCAACTGTCTGAACTTGGTTCTCAACGTATTTAGCTGTGTCCTAAAAACCATAAAGAATCAAACCAAAGAGTTAAACAGGAAGAGATACAATCACCGTACAAATGCTTAACAGTTACCTGGACAATGATCTCTTCAACCTCTAAGCACATTGCTTCAAACTTCTGGTAGACATTACCAACCCATGTTATACCTTTAAAGTCCATTACTTCTCTCAATCCAAGAACGTTCTGTCAAGGCAAAAGAAGTCCAACAGAAAAGAAAACAAGCAATATGAGGTATCGTATACACAACAGCAATTTTAGAAAAGAGGATTGCAAGAGAACAGAAACAGCAACATATATATAAAAGACACATGCTTTGAGCCATTATATCAAAGGATAATATCTAAGCAAAGATGAGTAATGCAACTTGTAAGCAAACCCCTTGCATAGGTGTTTCAATATTAATGATCAATTTTTTTCTCAAATCCTAGGTGCCTTTTAGAAGCTTTCTTCTTAAACCAAAATATATATATTATGACTGCAGGAACAAGCTATCGCTCTATATCCACATGTTTGTAAGAACACATGTTTGTAAGAAATAAGAAATTAAACAAAACTATGTCTTTAATCACCAGAAAACTACAAAACCCAGAAACATAAAGTTCAAAAATTGTCAACACCAAAGGAGAAACCAACGATCATGTGGCCAAAAAAAACACAATTTTTTTCAAAATCAACTAACTAAAAGCTGATTGCTTCTTAAGATGAAGTTGAAATTGAAAGGACTTTTTTAAGCTTTGAACAAAAAAAAAAAAAATCAAAACTGTAAACAACAAGAACAAAATTAAACAAAGTTGCAGAAGCATATACGTGGTTGGGTGAGAGAAGAATTCGCAACAAGGGAGAAAACACGTGACCAGATAGAAGATGAACCCTAAAACCCTCTTTTGCAATCAATCACAAATTGAAGAAAACAAAAAGGAATAATATTTTAGGATAAGAAGAGAGAGAGAGAGATGGATTGTTTAACCTCAAAGTAGTAACGTACGTGCACGGTGATCTTATCGTATTCTGGTTTCTCACTTCGATTGAGAAGGATTGGAGATTGAGTAAGTTATAGCGATGAAGCAAAAGCCAAATGTGCTAACCCAAACCTCTTAAACAAGCTCTCTCTCTCCGGGTTCGTGTTTTACCCACCCGGTTTTGTCTTTTTCTGGGGCCCAGTGATTGCGTTGACAATTATTTTATCTACTTATTTATTTATTAATAATGGAAATATCTGTTTTTTTTTCCTATCTCGAAACGTGGCACGCAAGTGGGGATCTTTGTTGATTCCTCCATTCCACGATTGCAACCAGTCAATCACACAAACGTTTCCTAGTTTTTATAGGCAAAAATAAATTTGAACAAGGAAAAAAATAACACATGAACATATATGAGGCATGTTATTGTTAATGATTCTCTTGAGATCAAGTGATGAAATTTTTTTTGCTTTCAAATAATATAGATATATAGAGCTATTTGAATCTTCATGGATAATTCGTGTTAGGTAAATGTTTTTTCATGATCTTCTATCTTCTTCTAGTTCTACCTGACACAGTAACACTGGTTGGGCTTTTTGTTATATATGTACATTTAAGTTGCATATTTGCACTGTAACTACATGATTCACTACAATGCTGATTTCAACTACTTGAAAGCTCTATTGACAATATATATATGAGAGCATCGTTTCAGAATTCAGATGATCGTTTAATACTTGCTATTAGATCACGTGTGCGTAGAAAATGAGTTTTTTTATGCATGTTGTTAACATTGATTAGGTAGTTAAAACAACTTATGTAATTTTATGCTAATTTAATATAGGGAGTTCCCTATTTTTTTAGCCAAAATATAATGACTCTCCTTTTGATGATATTGTTGATTAGATACTACTAGTATTAAACTTTGTGTGGGCAAATTATTAACCCGGCCATATGTTTTGAACCTTTCGGTGTAATATCAAAAACACAGAACTTACAAGTTGTAATCAATTTGAGTTACTGAATTAGCAAGCAACAGTAGTCTGTTCTTCGGTTAATGATATTAAGTATTTACTTTAAACAAGACACAGAAAAGTGCAAATATATTGATATCATATTTTATACAATCATACTATAAGATGCAAACCGAAGATTGTAAAAAAAGAATCAACATTTGCTACAGCATGGTAATTAATACTTCCTTAGTAAAGGTCTTGGAGGACGAATCTTCAGCTTTAGGGTATTACTGGATACTCTCTTGAACACTGGGGGCTTCGATGAAACAACCTTCACTTGCAATCCCTTCTTTGTAGTAACACTACCTCCCCACTTAGCCTGAGTCTCTATGATGGTGTCATCAGCAGTCTTCTTATTCTCTCCGACCAGAAACGGATGTAACAACAACTCAGAAGCGGTTCCTCTATCTTCAGGTTTCCGTGCAAAACACTTGTTCAGAAACTGCCTTGCATCCCACGGCACAGTGTCTGGAATCTCAGGTACCTTTTTATCCTCCGTTAAAAAATCCTCAAGATCATAAAGATTCGTCATATCTGACCACGGCTTCTTCCCAGTGTACATCTCGAGAACAGTGCAACCCAAGGACCACAAATCTAGGGCTTTCTCGACCGTACCATGTTCGACTGAGTCAGGAGACATGTAGATAGGAGTTCCCACAAAGGGATAATAATACCTCCAATTATCAGATTCTTCCTCTCCTTCCTTCACCGCCAATCCAAAATCCGCAATCTTGAGTTCATAACTGTAACTCGCCGTCTGCTGATCGTAAACCGGGAAAAGAAGGATATTGGCCGGTTTAAGATCGCAGTGGACGTAACCGTGACTATGAATCGAGACCAAACCTTGGAGTATCATCCTAGTAAAGTCTTTGACGGTCGAACTATTTAACTGTTTATTAACAGTGATGAATTTGGAAAGAGTGCCTGAAGATGCGTACTCCATAGGCATCTCGTAGACTCTTTCTCCGTCAGAGTCGGTTCCTTCATGCAGAGAACTCCCAAACACTTGCACGATCCTAGGAGATCCTTTGAGTTGGGAGAGAACTCTAAACTCGCGTTCGATAGTTCGATGGTGAGTGGATGTCTTCACGGCGATGAAGGAGGTTGAGCCATCGTGTTTTGTGTGACGGTAGAGATCTACGGAGCCGTACGCACCTTCACCTAGGAACTTGAAGAACGTCATGGATGATTTGTCCCCTAGAGAAAGTGGAACAACTCTCGGGAGAAAGAAAACGAATAAGACAACAAAAAGACCTAACTTAATCATTAGACCGAAGAGAGAAGAGTATTGTAGTAACGATGATGTGATGATGTTTACAACTCTTGTTTCGTGTTTTTATAGATAGCTAGAACTCTCACTAGACCTTTGTAATGTTGTAAAAGGAATTTCGTTAGTTAGTAAACTGACAATTGTACCCTTGTACTATCTATGTTTTACTTTTTTTTGGAAGTGTTTGTTATCTCTAGATTTACTATATACATTATCCGTATCATCAGATCATCAAATCAAATTTCTATTGGCTTTTCTACCCTTCTATTATCTGTGTTTTACTTTTTTCTTGTTATCCTTTGTTCATCTGTTTTATGAGCCTCAGCCAATACATGTATAATAAGTCTCTATAGCTTGCTCTGGAACATGTTATTGTGTTTGTTTGTTCAAATCTCACTGATAAGCTGCATGTAATGTACTTGTCTGTCAGTGACAAGATTAAAATAAAATAAAAACAGGGGAGGCTGATTAATTAACCACTTGTAAGTTGTCATTTCTGCTCTTGTTAGGGGGGCAAATTAAGTAAAGTAAGCTACGATGTATCACTAAAAAGAGTTCAATGAGGATCATGTTACTTAACTAAGACCTGAAGAGTAACAGTCCAACAGAGATAATCGTTTGCATGTTGTTCGCATAAAGTCAGTATAGAAACCCAGTAACAGAATTTCACAATGTGTTTCTCATTGATTCTTTAATATAACAAAGTCATAAAAATTACTTCAAATTCAATGTACCAAAACACTGTTACATAATTCTACTAATAATAAAAACAAAACTTGAGCTTAACACTAACGAGGTGGTCTCTGTAAACTTTCAAATATTTGAGTTCCTGAATTAGTAAACAACTGTAGGCTGTGAACTCTAATGAACTAGACATAGCAAAAGTGGAATTATATTCATACTATCAAATACATATTAGAATCTTCTCAGAAGAATCAATATTTGTTACAGAGTGGTAATTACTAATATACTTAGAACAGTAAACTCTAGTGAACGGGAACAAAAGTGGAACTTGGAGGTCTTGGAGGAAGAATCTTCAGCTTCAGGGGTTTATTAGATACTCTCTTAAACAGTGGAACCTTTGATGAAACAGTCTTCACTTTCAATGCCTTCTTTGTAGCATCACAACTATCTTCCAATTTAGCTGGAGGTTCCATACTCAACACTATCTTATCACATCCGACCAGAAACGGATGCAACAACAACTCAGAAGCGGTTCCTCTATCTTCAGGTTTCAACGCAAAACACTTGTCCAAAAACTGCCTTGCATCACACGACACAGTGTCTGGAATCTCAGGTACCCTATTATCCTCGACCAAAACATCCTCAAGATCATAAAGACTCCTAAACTCAGACCACGGCCTCTTACCAGTGTACATCTCGAGAACAACGCAACCCAAAGACCACAAATCTAGGGCTTTCTTGACCGTACCATCTCGTACCGACTCAGGAGACATGTACATAGGAGTTCCCACAAAGGGAGAATGGTAACTCCAATTATCAGAAACTTCCTCTCCTTCCTTCAACGCCAATCCAAAATCAGCAATCTTGAGTTGGTAAGTGTAAGTCCACGTCTGCTGATCGTAAACCGGGAAAAGAAGGAGATTATCCGGTTTAAGATCGCAGTGGACGTAACCGTGACTATGAACCGAGACCAAACCTTGAAGTATCATCCGAGTAGAGTCTTTAACGGTCGAATCCGTTAACTGTTTGTTAGCACGGATGAAAGTGGAAAGAGAACCAGCAGAAGCGTACTCCATAGGCATCTCGTAGACTTTGTCTGCGATACAGTCAAAGCCTTCGTGGAGAGTAGGGCTAAACACTCGGACGATGCCAGGAGATCCTTTGAGTTGGGAGAGAACTCGAAACTCTCTTTCGATGGTTCGACGGTCGGAGGAGATCTTTGCGGCGGTGAAGGAGGTTGAGCCGTCTTGTTTTGTGTGACGGTAGAGATCGACGGAGCCGTAAGAGCCTTTACCTAAGAATTTGACGAATTTCATGAAGGGTTTGTCTTTGCAACGCCCAACTCTTTTGATCGCCATTATCTGATTCTTTTCGCCAATTAAAAACCCTAGAAAAAGTAGATAGGTAAGGAAGCAAAACGCGTGAGCGAGAAGAAACCCTAGTTCGAACAGAAACGTAAGAGAAGAAGAGAGTGTGGTAAGAAACGAAGAGAGGTGATCTTTGTTTCGAGTATTTTATAGAGGAGGCAGAGTCTCTCACTATATTTTCTTTTTCTGAATGTATCGCAAAAAGGAAATTAGTAGTATGTTTGACTATTTCACCCTTTACAACTGTTAGTTATATGTGTTTTAGGCTTTTAGCGTGTGTGAAAATCTACTAATTTGACAATTATATCCCTAAACATTAGATCTTCATGAGATTCACACAAAATCAAATCTTTATGGATCTTTTCTACTTTTCTTTTTTTAAATATACGGTTACTATTTTATTTTGTTTTAACATTTTTCTTTTTTGCCACAAAGTAACATTAGGAAGATAACTAACATATCTTGATCTGCAAGTATGTACTAGCTCAAGAAGCTTAACAATGTGAGAATTCTTGCGCAGTATTATCTTTATTGATTCTATTGTAATGCACATGCCCAATACCATAAGTCAGGAATCTAAAAAAATGAAAAAAAAACAGGGGAAGCTGACTAATTAACTATGTACTAGTTGTAACTAAGTTGTAACAAAACAAGGCCTAAGCAATGATATATCACTAAACCAAGTTCAATGATGATAATATTCTAACCAAGACCTGAAGAGCAACATATATAATCATTCAAGTTGTTCGCATAAAGTCAGTAAAGAATTCAACAACAGAATTTCTCAATATGATTTCCATTGTTTTATTTATAGAATGAAATAACACATGGACAACAATACCTTCCAAATTGGTCAGTGATATACCAAAACACTGTTACATTAATTCTACTAATTAATAAAAACAAAACTTGAGCTGAACACTAACGAGATAGTCTTGCTACGCACTGAATCTTCACTTTGACGAGTCTATACACAAATAGACCTCATTCCCGAAAGCCTCCTCTCTCTAAGTTTCTCCAACTCCAAAGAGATTTTCCTCGAGTTATCACCAGTCATAGGAGACTTTGTGATCTCACTAACATCTCCACGCAAGAAGATATGATTCAACAAAGTCGATGCATCTTTTCTATCATCCACCTCCGGTGAGAAGCATGTCATGAGAAAGAGCTTTGCATCAAAAGGAAGATCTCTTGGAATCAACGGCTCATGGCAGTTCTTGAGATCCTTCAATTTGTAGTCTGTATGCCACCAAGGTCTTTTCCCTGTGTACATCTCTAGTACAATGCATCCCAAAGACCACAAGTCAAGTCCCTTCCCTATCTCTCCGTGAGATATCGATTCCGGAGACATGTAGATCGGTGTTCCCGCATAGGGATGATTAGGTTCCCACCAGGTAGTGTCTCCATCTCTTCTCGACAACCCGAAATCCGAAATCTTCAACTCGTGAGAGGATCTCCACGCACCGTTTTTGTAGACATAACTCGGGAAGACAAGGATGTTTGCTGGTTTGAGATCGCAGTGAACATAACCGTGTCCGTGGATGGTGGTTAACCCTTCTAGAAGCATACGTGTAAAATCTCTGACCAAAGCATCAGGTAGCTTATTGTCTTTGAATTGGTTAACGAAACTACTCAAGCTTCCTCCAGGTGCGTATTCCATGTGAAACTTGCACTCCAAGCAACCTTCTTCGTTGAGTCTCTCTTGCACTTTGGTCCCGTAGCACTGGACGATTCTCGGACATCCTTTGAGTTCAGACAGGATTTGAAACTCTCTGTAGAGAGAATCCGCGTGTTTCTCGTCTGAGGTTTTGGCGGCGGCGTAAAGAGTGTGGCCGCCACGTGCTGCGTTGTATGTGTAGAGACTCACCGAACCGAAAGAGCCTTTTCCGAGAAACTTCTCGAAGTATAACTCTGGACACGACATTGAAAAAGAAGGATCGATTATTCTGAGAGCGAAGAAAAAACTTAAGTGAAAGTAAAATCTGAGAAGTTCTGAGAAGTAGTAATAGCTTTGGTGAAGTCTCGACAAATATAAATAAAGCTACTAACACGTGGCGTCTGTGTCAGAAGATTAGTAACCGAATGTCTTCCGTCCCAAGTTTCTTTTTTCTTATTTTCCTTTTTTCAATTTACACAAAAGTAAATAAAGATTCCCTTTCTTCTGAGAACGGAAAAATTAAGAGAAAGAAACAACAGATAATTACAGTTTGGTCTTTTCAATTTATATTGATTTGTTTTTTTTCTTAATGTATTTATGGAAATGCAAAAGAAAAAAGAAAAAAAGTTTCAAGTTAACAAGGAAACAAAGAATGCAAAATTAACGGGATTTAATTTATAACAATATTTTACTTTGTATTCAAAAGGATCCAAACAACATGCAATTTCATAAACACGCTTAAAACACTCCAAAATGCACACTGAGAAGTAACTTTTTATACCTAAAAACCCAAACAAGTAACAAGTATTGCGGAGTCAGAACAACATGACTGTACAAGCACATATTATTTTCTGTTATTTTTCTTCTCATCTAAACGCAAAGTCTTGCAACCAACACTGCTGCTACCGCTTGCCATTATTAGCCTTAGGCTGAAATATTTGCACCAGAGACCACAAAATGTCCATCCTCTGCATCACTTTGTTGCTTTGGCTCTGCCATTCATATAAACATCTCAATATTAGTCACTGAATAGTAATTCAATGCTCAAGAAAAACCCAAGAGAAAAAGTTGTCATGAAGTGTATAGAATTTGATTCCTACCTCAACTACAAAGCATATCCATGTTTTATCACCCTGAGCTTCGGTGATGCCTCTCAGGATGGTTAGGTCCAAGCTCCTGATCACGTTTGATATCTCAAGAAAATGGCTACATTCTTCACATAACATCTGTCCACAACCCAAAACATTTCTAAGAATATGGAACTTGTTCAAACAAAGACTAACCAAAAAGGGAAGAAGGAATGATTACATTACCTCGATAAGTACCATCCCATGCTTGTTCAGATTCTCCACGATAATAGAACACACTTGAAGATGACCTCCAACCTCCACTGCACAGCTTGAACCTTGGGCGCCAGTTTCCTTATGTTGCATCTGAGATTACAAAGTTATAAAAGCTAATTTCTATGTTTCTAAGGTAGAACAGAGACCATGAGCATTTTCTTACCTTTGTATTAGCACTTTTACTGAGCTTGTCAGCATGCTTAGTAACATTTTGCAGAAAGAGCATGTGCTTGATCGTACGTTCTAGCAAAGAATCAATGCTGCACTGTAAAATGTGACAAAAATTATTAGCAAATAGCAAAAACACAGGCAACTACGAAACTATTAACTTCTAGAAACAAAATCTATTGTAGCTTTATCAAAATCAAAACACTAATCCGTACAATGTTTCAAGTAACTTTGTAGCTAGGGGGAGCAAACTCACCTTTGATCCATTAGGCACAAGTTCTCGAAGTTCCTTGATTCGATCCTGAATGAGCTGCCTGTCTCTTGGGCGAGGCCGAGAACTTTCTCCAGGTTTAGCCCTCTTTTTATTCTTTTTAGGCATCTCCAGGGACGTCTGAAAATGATCACTAGAGGAGCTGGGACACGTGGATGAGAACCCAATGGAAGAAAATGCTCCACAGATATCTGACGGATTCTGTTGAGTATCCACCTCTACTAGTGGCAGCTGATTCATAGCCCTACCAACAATATGCTTGTTTTGACCTGATGGTTCTGCCATTTCCATGCTGGTAAGCAATGACTGAACAGATCTGCTCGAGAAGATATCATCTCTGGCATTGCCATCGCTATGACAAACATTAGCGACCACAGCATCTAAAAGATTCTCAGGGGCAGAGTCAAATGTAAGCTGACTATGACTCATATTATCATCTGTTGGTCTTATTGCTGAGCCATGTTCAGACTTCACTAGCTCCTCAAGACCCCTGCTTCTCGTTTGCCTGAAACCAGAGCCTAATGCCTCTAGCAGCTCGCTACCAGGAAAATTATATCCAGATGAGATCAAAGCATCGAATCGACTTGACTCACTTGAGTGCAGGCCTGGATATGACTGATCTGTAATCAATCTTTCAGCCTCAATTGCTAAAGCAGATGAGCTTGTGTTGTTGAGCACATGATTCCTCAAATACGGATGTAAATTAGGATCTAGTCCTCTTGGATCTTTGCAGTCGTTAGTCATTTCCATGTGACTGGCATCAACCAAGTCGACTGGAAAGCCATCGTTATTGCTCTCAGAAGTAGATCCTTGCACATTAGGGAAAGCCTCAACATGTAAACTCTCAGAAGGTAATTTTGGCTGCAACAGAAAAAATAATAAGAATTATGTTCATATCCAGGAAGTTAGTTGAACTCAATTGTTAGAAGAGCCTAAGCACTCTTCTCTTCCCATTTTTTTCAAATAACGAGAAATCTAGACAAACGCGAATCCAGATTTGTATGAAGAAGATATTTACCAGGCACAACGAACTGTTCATATTACAATGCATTACATTTGCTGCATGATCTGCCAGTGGATCCTTGAGTGACAAAAACATATGTTTGATATGATTCACCAATGTCACATCTTCATCAACCTGCTCCACAAAAGCACACAATAAGACCATATATTTTCATAGCGTTCTTACTGGCTATTGTTTTGTAACTGAGAAAACTACATCCAAATATAGATGTCACTTACTTTACGCAACGAGCCTAGCTGCACAACACCATATTGACCAACAGCTACTACAAGAATGGTCTGCACCGAAGGAAGAACAGATTGTTATACAAAGAAAGTCCTTGACATTATTGTAACAGAGCGGACAAAAAAAAAGAACAGTAAAGAAAAATCTCAAAATACCTTGATTCCCGCAGATATTTGACTCTCCCAAACGTTATGAAACTGTAATTGGAAAAAGATACGGTTTAAAGAACATGAAAAACAGAAGAAAAAATCAACTCGAGATAAGAAGTTCCTAACCTCAGATGCTGAGTAACAGTTGTCATAATAATATTCAGGGAATAACCATTGGTGTTCTCCAGAAACCGCAACTTGTCCTACAATCCTGTTAATATAGGACATGATTCAAAAGAAGATCAGTCTCGGCATCATCCAGCCTCATAATCCAATAAGTTACCGCAAGATTCTGTGTCTAATAATGTAGTTAATGTCACAAAAACAAATAAATAAATAAAAGCACATTCAAGCTATATAGCTAATTGCCAGAGTGCGTCACACTGTGTGACTCACACACTGTTGAGCAAAAGATGCCTAGTTGAAAAGATGACGTTAAAGAAGAAGGAAGGAAGTAACAAGCAATTTATTCTTACCCTTCCCCTAGAGAATAGACATGATAAGCCATCTTCGCCAAAGCTAAACCCAGTGGGTCATGTGCTCCATGCATGTTTATTGGTATACCGCTACAACCCTGAATTTCCGGTGAGCTATTGTGCCCATCATTGTCACAGTAAGCATCCTCCAAGGTAAGTACCCTGCAAGTGTTCAATAGTCTAGAAATCAGAAACTATCCTGGTCAACTAGACCCTCAACTCAACCCAATAGAGACTGATTCGGCAAAAACACCTAGCATAGAAGCATTACTTTTACAGACCATGAATACCTAATAACTCTTCCAAAAGATTAACCCACTTAAACTACTATTGTATAAGGCTGCATTCAACATAAGGTTCCATATGTTCTAATCTTTTCACAGGAGCAAGTTGGAGAACAGGACACATATGTAGACAGTAAAGAGTCTTTTCAAAGGATAATAAGGAAATGTTTAGAGGACTCACATTGGAGATGAATGGTTAAGTTTCCAGAACACAGCATACTTCCACTCAGTGTTGGAGCAAAGACCCCTCAGTATCTCTTGAGAAGTAGAACCCATTATTAAAGAGGCAAAAACCAAAACACCCCCCCCCCCCTCACTAATGTCCGACTCAAGAGAGACAAATGAAGATCCGGACAAATAAAAAACACAAAACCCTTTCCCTTGATTCTTTTATAAGTTCGAACAAAAACAGTCTTTGTGTACACTTTCTTCTCCCTACCCAACCCCAAAAATTAAAATAAAAAAAGAGAGAAACCCTTTATGAACTTGGATGAGCTACGAAGTGACTAACTACCTCTGTAAGAACCTCTTCCAGCTTGTTCTCTTCGCAATCCAGCTCTTGGATTTATCGGTGGACCTACTTCATCCTGTGATATTTCCCTCCTACCCATCCCTTTCCCAAACTTTGAAACTCGATTAGGAAAAACTCCTAAAGAGGAAACTACTTAACCAACCCTAGCCTCAGAAAAAAAACACCGAAGAATCAGACTTTCAAACAGTCTGAAACAGAACCAACGAGATAGATCTGTTGCCTTGAGCTGCCATATAGTTCACCAACTAAAGTTCTTTCTTTTTTTGTTCAAAACGAACTAAAGTTCAAAACTTTACAACAAGGAGAGTGAGAGAGACTGTAAGAAGAGAGTTTAGCTTATGTCAGAAGACATTTGGTTCTTGTCAAGAAATGATCTCAGCATACTCTGCATCACTCACAAAGAAATAAACTTACAATCTCAGCAGCAAGCCAATAAATCTGAAACAAAGAGAAAGAGAGAAGGAGAAGAGAGCTGAGCGAAAAGATGGTTCCTTTATGTAAAGGGAGAAGAAGAAATCAAGCTAAGTAAGCGGGGGCGTCACGCACTATGCTCATTTTAGCAACTGAAGCTGAGCGATAATGTTCATTTGTGCGCATTTTAGTTAAGTGTCTGAGTGAGTGGGGTGGGATGGTGTGGCTTGAGGTTTGCGAGGGATACGATTCTCTTAAATAGCAAATGGCCAGCAAAATCATTCTCTTAGTGGAATTTTTTTGGCTGCCGTATTTTTATTTTTACCTTTCAATTCTCATATAAAATGGGATAAACCAAATCTTATATTTTTGCACTTATTGTATGTTTAGCTATATAAATCCACCACCAACATATTCAATGTCACCACGGAACAAAACTTGAAATGTTGTATTCACACCAGTGTATAAACATCACATATTGTCTGGTGGTTTGTAGTGTATTTAAAGTTTAAAACGTTAAAGATTTAGACTATGCTGGCCATGAGCTAAAGTTCATTTAAACACTGGATTCAGACGTCAAAATTTATATAGAATTATGGGGATTAAAATTTTGAAATATAGTGGTTTAGGAGCAAATTTTATTTTTCATGAATTAATCGGTTAACTACATAAGACCGGTCTGATTTTAACTTCAAAGTGGCTTATAAATTAATAAGTAAAATTGTTATTGATGAGGGAGTTGAAATGTTTAATTTTAAACCCTTGTGTTTATTTTCAAAAAGAAATTTGTGGATATTCAGCTTTTGGTAAAAAGAAAATGATTTCATTTGCCAATATAAAGTCGAGACATATTGGACTTTATAACATGTCCATTACATATTATGATGAAATAGACTCTGCTCCTTTTATTTCCCTTTTTGTATTGTCAACAAAAATCAAATGTCTTTTTCATACTCACTCATTTTGTCTTGCTTACCATAATAATCTCTGGACAAAGGGAAAATACCCATTGTATAACCAATATGCTGCCCTATGCTATTTTAGTTGCGGATGGTCCACTATATAACCAAGATCATATGAGTATATATATGCTTCGACTAAGATGTTTGATCCAAATTAATATTAACCAACTGGTCCAATTTTCACCAAATGGTAAAAACAATTCCAAAGAAGGCGATCCATGTTTTAATATTTGAAACAATTCCTAGTCCACTGACCATTGTAATTTCATTAGACATTGGCATTGCATCTACGAAGAAAGTTTTTTTATATGTATATGTAGATTGGCATGGCAATTCACAAGTGTTTGTTTTGTTTCTTGTTCGGTCTTTCAATTAATTATTTAAGAACCACAAAGGTTGAAAGTATATTGAAATGTGTACAATCTGATATTGAGTTCCACTTGAAAATGAAAATGATGATGTTTTACTATTGATTGCTCATTATATTTTATCTAGAGGGGATCTTATTATATGCTCTCATGACATGTTTCCATCAATGTGTTCTAATGCAACTCACCAACTCAACATCCTTTTCCCATTTCCATCATTTTTATCTTTTACTACTCCTTTACCTCAAATTCAATTAAGCACACATATTATATATATCTTATCCCTCATTTTAATCATTTTTCACAAACTTTATTTCTCTGGTCAGTCGTAAATTTTATATATTGTTAACAATTTATTAAAATTGCATCACTATCAATATCCTATGGATACATCATACATGATTTATGTTTTTAATGTGATTCTTTGTCAAAATCTTGCTTTTAAAGTAATTAATTCAGTGGGTTGAAGATTGTTTAAAGAAAAATTCAACATAATATTTATGAAGTCGTCAGCTTCTGTTAACTCAGAGAGTCAAAAGGAATTCTCGGTTTGGATGATAAACTGCCTTTTCAATTATTTAATTTCGTTTTGAAAATAATTATTTAATTTATTTCATACGTATAAATAACCATTCCTCTGTTGTTACTAAAACTATAAATCTCGCCTACAAACTGTGACTTTGGAGCTTTTATTTTCCAGAATAACAAATGTAACGAGTCTACAAATAAAAAAGTTTAGCTAGGTGCACTTTTTTGTTAGATATTGATTTTTTTTTAAATGCCACCGAAAAATTATTTTAATCGATTTCTATATGTTTCCGAAAGTTGGCATTAATTAGATCAAGCATGCCTCTGTTAATTAAATTGCTTCACTTATCTTTTAAATCAAAGAACTTTTGATAATAATGTTTAGTAGACAACGTTGATGAGTTGGTCCGTAGTAGATAAGCCATGCAAGTTCCCATCCATGATCATATATTTCTTTTCTAATTAATGTTTATTTTAATTATCGAACGTTTACAGTTCAAGTTGATCTTAAAAGTTATAACTTTAACCTGTTGAGTTTTGTTCGGAATGTAGATCTATTTCGGCACTAAATAATCCATTTTGACCATCGTCTACAAATATATATACAGCCTAAAACTTCTCAGGATTACAAAAAGAAAATGATTATTTTGTGAAATATCAATTATGTCATGATATATAAATCACTGTACGTAATAGAAAAGAATACTACTGTTGTCATCGACCATTTATATAACGTGATGTCGTGCAATCTATCTATTTAACTTCTTGTTTTATATCTACTGCAGATTTTCCAATTATAAATCAATTAGCATGCTTATAGAACTTATAAAATATGAGATTTCATGCATAGACTATCTTAGCATTATATCTCACCGTTTACGGAAAGAAAAAAAATCTGCAGCAACAACAAGTGTATGGTTCAAGTTCTCCACAAATGCACTAAAGAAAAAGTAAAATGAATGTGGGATATTCATATTCATTGTACCAGAAAGAAAAATAAACGAATCCTACAAATAGAGGGCAAATGGATTCCAAATTTAGGGTACTGAAATTTCTCCAAAAAGGGAACTGGGGCAGAAGTTGCTTAAAAGAGTGGCAAAGGTCTCTCTATTTTTCTTCTTTTATAAATTTAGTCTTTATATTAGTTTATAAATGTTTGGGAAAGGCTTTTTCAAAGAGAAAAAAGAAAGAAAACAATGAGACTTAGGAATGTATGATGGGACTAGTTGTGGTCCATACAAGATCTAAGGAATCTAATAATTATTGTCCTCAAAAAGAAAAGAAAAAAAGAAATCTCACTCAATCTCTCTCTATACAAATTCCATTTGTTCTTCTCCTCCTTCTGAGATTTTCTTTTGATTCGAGGGCCTTGGGTTTCATTGACCCTCAAACTTTAAAACCTAGCTAGCCACCATGAGAACTCTGCCACAAAAAAAAGATTTATGTGGAAGTATGGTTCTGTTTTTCTAGGTCCATGTTTTGTTTGTATTTCACTTAGTTCAGATATTGATTGATTTTTCATTGTATTATGCTAGTCATGTGTAGTGATGGCATTGGTCAGAGTAAAGTGAAGCTTTGTAACGATAAGATGAGTACAGTCAATAAAGATGACCGTCCTCTAGTTGTTAATAGTGAAAAATAGCTTGTATCAATTGCTAATCTATAACTCAAGTGTATATAAATTCCCGTGGGAGAGAAAAATACTATAAATCCTATTCAGATTATATTCTGTTTCTTTGCAATTAGTCAACAACTCCGACTGGAATGTTTTGCATGAGTATCTTGTTACAAATTATCTCTGGCCCGTTTTCACTTTAGACGACCTCCAGAATATTTCTCCAATTTCATTATATAAAAAGTAATTTACTCTGACCATCTTGATGATGTCATTGTATTTTTGGTTCTGTATTATATGATTTTTATTGTTCAATCTTCGGGTCATTTAGTCGACCATTTCAAATTTAGACTGATAATATTCGTTTCAACGGAAAATATTATCATAGCTTTGATTCTTCAAATTTGTTTTTTTTTGTCACATGATTCTTCAGAATTGTAATGTACTGGATTCTGGAGAACAGGAGATGGTTTTAAAACGACTTGAAAATGCTGACAAAAAAAAGACTTGAAATTATGATATTGAGCCATTCCGTTTGTATAAGACTATTGAATCTAAAAGACACTTGATGGAACTAACCCAAGAAAGCCTAATATCCGATCAATGGTTTGAATGGGCTCGATCCTTAAAACTTAAATAGTCTTAAATCTTAATTGACAGCTCTAAAACCAAATACACAGGATTTTTATTGTAAATGACAACTCTAAAATCATCTTTTTTTGTTGTCAAGAACTCTAAAATCACTTTAGAATTTAGAAAACAGTTGTTAAGAGTGTTTTGAGTGAGAAGATAACATGATAATGATTATAACGGGAATTGTGGTCTACGTTATAATTTGTTAATATTTATTTAAGAACTTTTTAATTATCATTATTTAAAAGAAAATTTATTTGATATTTCGAAAAATAGAAAAGTTAGAATTTCACTAAAATTACTTTACACTACATACATGTATAACCCACCCAACGTTTGGGTTTTCATTTGGAAATTGTTCCTCTCGAATTTCATCATACCCTGAAACATTAAACAAGAACTTGGTACGGTAGTACCTGAATAAAGTCACTACAAAAATGTGTTTCTCTTCACAATTGGGAATAACATTGCAATGAGACCAAGCAACCAACAAAAAAAGCTAAATCAAGTGACATGAGAGAAAACTCTAATGAGATGCATTGGTGAATGTATCAAATAAACAAAGAAATGTAAATGTGAGAAAAAAAAAACGTAAATGTGAGCTAGATAATGTTTATTGGATATAGACACATGTGTGAAACTGAATTCATATAAAGATGAAGAAAAGAGTAAGGAGGAGCTGAAGTGAGACAAACTTCTATCTACACTCCAAATGTGCCACATGGAGGACACGAGTGAGTTTGTCACTCATAGAAAAGTAAAGACAAATAATGGAAATTGGTGCATAGAAACAACTAACTCTTCAAAAGAGCAAAGTGAAGACGAAATTAGAGACTATCAAAGATCTAATGTAGAGTGACACTCACTTATGCTCAAGGGAAGAAGAGGAAGTATGCTGACATTTAAGTATAGCAAAACTGAGAAGAAAGAGTCTGCTTAAGAGTGAGTTTAGAATCCTTAGAAAAAGCGGAATTTCCAACAACTTCAGATTGTTTGAAGTAAAAGACATGCATTGGTCGTTTTGGTGATGTAAAGCGGCATAAATACAAATCTGGCGAAGAGTGACCACTCTAAGCCTATAACCACATATTTTATAGCTTCACAAGCCACAAAAGTAGTTAATATGTTTAAATCACTTATAACCACTTTGTATTTGGAAAAACTTATCAAATCTTGTCCATAGGATACATGTTAAACTCTAAATTGTGTTTGTATAAATATATAGTTATATGATCTTAATGAAAAATAGAAGTTTGATTTTCAAAGTATCATACTCTCTTCATATAATTTTTGTCTCCACTAATTCCATCCTAGGCTCTTTGTTTGATTACTCAGAACATCATTATCGGTAATTTCTCACTTAGTTTTTCATTATTTAATTAAAAGCAATTTATTAAAAAATAGAAGAGAGATATATCAGAAGTTTTCTGAACTGAAATTTTAGGATATTTTTAGAACCTCAAACATTTTTTATTAGTTCACTTAATTTTTTTTAAATGAAATGTAAATGTATAATTAAAATATTAATATTTTAGTTTTGTAGAGACTTAATAAGTTTCTAACGACTAACTAAAATATTAATATTTTATTTTTGTAGAGATTTAATAAGTTTCTAACGATGGAGGTGCTCTACTTCTACGTGATTCTGACAAATAAAATATTTAAAATATATATATATTTGAGTATGAGATTTAACAAAAATCTGCAAGTTTTTTCCTGAAGACTTTCCGGAGTGAGATCTTCTTGCTTTCTGGTTTCGACTTGTCATTCTCCTCAGTTGCATCGGAATCAAGTGTAACATGAAGGTCTGGTTTCATGCAGCTAGTCGTTTCATCACGTAGCAACACTCTCTTAGTCATTATACAATATGTTTAAGTTGAGCCAAAGTTGCGGTAGAAAACCTCCTAAAATAGATTTAAATAAGAAATAAGATACACATCTCTTAGACCATCACAACAAGTTGACTATGAATTAGAAACAAGACATGATACTGGATCTGTTTACAGATCAGATCTCAAAGTTATTAATTTGTCTTATCTAAGCTGTTTTATTCAGTTCAGATTCTAAAAAGCATTAAAGGCAAATACCAAATTGGCTTTTTATTTAGTATCAGATTCCCTAATTGACAACCAATGAGTTAGCATGAACATTCATTCTTTATTGATTTTTGTTTGTTTTTTGCAGTGTGTTCTGCTAAATCTTAACTTTTTGGTAAAATCTGCTAAAACTATGCACAATTCTTTTTAGTAAAATATATTATTAAATGAAAAATGCTAATTTTGCTTTATCAAAGTCTATAATAGAATTAACAGAAGACAGTGAGTTACTGAAAAATCAGTTAACATGTTAGCTGAGTTCTAACTACAAATTTTAAGCCAATTGGAACTTCTACGGTCAATTTCTTCAACTTTCTTCTTGCTTATTATCCATCCCTTCCCCAAGTCCTTGCAAGTTTTAAGACATTGTGTATGTTTCTTCGTCATTTATCATTCCACAAACGTTTTCTTTGGAAGATAGAAAAGCATTGTTATTAGATCTCTTCATCTCTACAAATTTCAACAATGATGCCCAAGAAATATGATTTACCAAAAATCTGTAAGATTTATTATTAAATAAGATTACTTGTTTTTCACCCTCTTACTACACTTCTCCCACTTTAACTTACTACCTAATAATAATCTCTACACGCCACTCTCCCATAACTTAGTCCAAAACGCAGCCGACAGAACTGCAATCTCAAGGGCACGATGGAGCAACTGCTTTCTTGTTTTCTTCTTCTAGCTGAGACCGGATTGTTTGGGGAGATGCCAACTTGTTTATGCTGCACCATAAAAATAAATGTTTTAAATAACTAAAAAAATCCAACAGAACTATATGCAAGTAGCAGTAAAGTCTATGATGTTAGACTCACCATACTAGCAAATCTCCACATGATGATCTTTTCTCAGAGATCCATTCTGGGACCAGCTCTTGCATTAAGATTAGTTGTTCTTCAACTTCTTCTGCAATACGCAAAAGAAAACAGTTAGCACAATTTTTAAAACACTGATTAATTAGTCTAAAGAAAAGACTTGTTGAATGGTTTAGAGTAAGGCTTACTTCTGTCGGTGATATCAGAATGGCCAGCGATTATCTTGTGGACAAGCTCTTCTTTTGTGATCACCCAACGCCTTATTGACTGAATCAAGTAATGGATGACATTGAAAAGTTTAGGTAGACAAGCTATCATCTTCCTCCTTCTCTTTGCCTCTGAGATTGCTGGATTTGATTCTTCAATTGCTTTCCTCTCTTGTTCTTTAATCTGAAATGAACATAAATAGTGAGTTATCTATATCTCAACAAGCAAAGCCAATCTCAGCAAAATGGTTAGTAAAATGTATTACCGATTGTCGAAGTTTTGCTGGAAGTATGTTGAGGATTTCATCATCGCTGGATGCATCTTCCTCTGGTTCTTGCTCAACATCTTCTTCATCAGCATCTGTCACATCCATAGCTTTATCGTCCTCAGTACAAGAATCAAAGTTCAGCGACCTTGATGAGCTTAGTGAGGAACGCCTAGCTAGCTTAGCCGGTGGGTCAGCAGAGACATCATCTGGAGTTGTATCACCGCTGCTCCTTTTCTGCAGACGAGATGCAAGTGATGTACTGTAGACTCTAGCAGGAGTTGAAGCAAACTCAGGTGGAGTTGAAGCAACAATGACTGGTATTGGGTCCATTTTAGCCGGCGTTGAGAGTATACTAGGTGTTGAGTCAATTTTGGCAGGCGTTGAAGGTACATTAGCTGGAGTTGACACTGCTTTGACTGGTGTTGGAGCCAAGTTAATCTTAGACAAAGCAGGACTTGAAGTTGGTGCAGTGTTGATTTGGGACTTAGCAGGACTTGAAGGTGCATTGACTGGAGTTGATGGGACTTTCATGAAAGATGAAATCAATTTAGCTGCAGGGATAGAAGCCATCTCTCCCATGAGAGAACTAATACTCTTAACTTCTTCAGCCTTTGAATCTTCATTTGGTTTCCTTCTATTGAATAGCTCTGGAAGCTGTTCCTCTGGCACTTCATCACCCTAAAACATATACCAAAACAGACTCTGTTAGACAAATTCATGCAATGTAGCTTCCAAATCACTAAGAGAAAGCATAGAGAATAGTATACCTGAGGATGGGATTTAACAAAATCTGCAAGTCTTTCCCTGAACACTTTCCTAAGTGAGATCTTCTTCTTGCTGTCTGATTTGGACTTGTCATTCTCCTCAACAGCATCGGCATTGAGAGTAACATGAAGATCTGGTTTCATACAGCTAGTCGCTTCATCATGAATCAACACTCTCTTAATCTCAATTGCCTCTGGCAAGATATGCTTTATCTGAGCCAAGTGACTGTAACAAAACCTCCTGAAAAAACAGATTCAAAATCAGAAACTAAGCTTAGAACATCATCACAAAGACAACTCATGAGATTGGATGATTTTAAAAATCTCCAAAAAGAATCATTTTGTCTTTTGTCTACAGCTAAGTACAAAAGGCAAAGACCAAACTAAACTTTGTTTATTCAGATCAGATCCAATCATCAACATGAATAATAAAAACTAAAACTTTCCATGAGATTAGATGATTTTGGATGTCCAAATAATAATTCTTTAAGTCAATCACAGATCTAAACTAAACAATCACCAGATCTAAATAATACTTTTGTCTTTTGTCTAAGCAAAGTACACAGAGACAGAACTAAATTTTTTTTATTCATTCAGATTCATGCAAATGATAACTTCCCAGGAAAATACCTTTCAGTCAAATGCTCGATTTTCCCAGAAATGTTAGAAAAAATCGGTTTAGAACCTCTTAATCTCGACAAAACAATCGTACTGTCTAACGCATCAAAGAACTTCCCCAGAATCTCATACCTGCATACAAAAAAACAAACCCAGATCTCATCATCAGTAAAACAGTAATAAAAATCAAAACTTTAAAAACCCTAGAAATCTAAAACATCCAACTTACTTCTCTGGTAATTTCTCTTTATCGATCTTCTTCCGTTTCAAGGAGGAAGACGACGAATCGTTAGACGAAAACAAGAGCTGGCTCCTTGCGGACGAAGCCTTCCCCACCGGATCTTCAGATCTACGACCAGATCCAGCGGCTTGACGAATCTCTTTCACGGATAGAGCCACGGATCGGTTTCTGGATCGTGTGTGCATGTTCTCCGGGGGCTTCTCCGGCGTTGGGAACGGTACAGAGGAAGGATTAGGGTTTCCGGTTTGCGATTTCGAGGACGGAGAATCTAACAGATCTACCAGCCGTTTCTTCGATTTGAAGGGAAGGGATCTAGAGGAGGAGCCTGGTGCACTCATTGTTTTAGAGTTAAAAGTCAACGAGTGAGAGAGAGGGTGTGGAGGAGAGAGAGAGGAGCGGTGGTGGTGATGGAGAAGAAGAGAGGGTTTATATATGGGGCGCGCGGCGCGGAGAGGAGGGAGATCGTGAGATGATGCACGTTGCTTCCCGCCAAGTTATGACGTTCCTTCCCGCGAGATTAATGTTGATAAGCCCACTAAGGCCCAGTTTATTGAGACGGAGAGATTAAAGAAGGTATAGAGGGAAGAGTGGAGAGAGAGAAGCCACGTGTGACTCCCGCCAAATTCTGCCGTTGCTTCCCGCGAAACTATATCATCGAGGAGAAGCCCATTAGGCCCATAATGATGCACGAAAACACCTGCATCATAATTCTGGGAAAGGATCTAGTCATCTAGAGGTCAGATCCAATTAGAAAAAAAAAGCAGATCTGTTTAACAGTTTTTAAGTTTGTGAATAGAAATCATAAGGCTGAGAAAAGAAAAAAAGAATAGAAATCATAATTTTTCGTATGTATGAATTACCAAAGTCTTTTAAATGAACAAGATTGACATGAACAGTTTTAAAAGTTTGTGAATGGAAATCATAATTTTTGGTGTGTATGAATTACCAGAATCTTTCAAATGAACAAGATTGATATGCCAATGCAATGCAATGTACAAGATTGATATGCCAATGCAATGTGCAGGCTAGTTCAGTATTTATAGATTCTTTGGAAATCAAAATAATCACCATAAGGAAATTTTATCATCACCAATAAAAATAAATAAATATATTTATAAAATAAAAAGTATCAACCAGATCACATTTAATTAATATCTTACATTCACACACTATTTTTTTCTTCTAAAGCTTTAAAAATATTTATCACATTACAATTATATTTTGTTGGGACAGGATCACATTCCTATTCTAAATGCTAGGAATAAACATTTTTTAACTTAAATGACAACTTTTCGTTAGATTTTTTTTCTTTCTGTTTTTACTAATAAACTTCAACTTCTTTTTATATTATACGAATAATTGGTACGTACTTCGCGCGGATAATTTAAGTTCATTACATTTTTCAGTTAATATTTTTTTATCTCGAAATTTGGTTTTGTATTATGTGGTAACTGTTATTATTTTTGTTGTTACTTTTCTTTAACTTTCAACATTCTTTATATGTTAAACTTGTTTGTTAATAAGAACCAATCGCCGTTACGATTGAATAAGTTTCTAAGTATGCTTGTTGAGATAGTTATAAGGAAACTATGTCTTATTTCTATTCTTGCGGTAAAAAACATTTAATCTATTTTTTTAAGTCATCTAGTTATAACGAGACTATTTTCTCTTTATAATGTATTCTCGACTATGTAAATATTTTTTTTTTATTTGTATATCAACATTGGAATTATAGTTGAGTTTCTTAATCCAATATTTGACATTTTAAAATTTTCTAATTTTTTTTGGATATAATAATCTTAAATATTTTTTTTTCATATTATAAAGTAATTTTCATTTCTGTATAATAGTAACATCTGGCTCATTTATTTATGAATCATATATTTATATGTTTATTAAAAAGGTAATTTATTATTTTGTTTTTAGTGTTTATTCTAATTTTAAAATAATAGTAAATGGGGTCCCATAATAAATAGTATGAAATTGCTTGATTTTAACAAGAAACCACAAATTACTCATCATATTGTTTATCGAATTTCCTTATACTTTTAAATAAAATATTTGTAAAATTTATTTATTATAAAAAATAGCTAAAAATTATGAAAAAAATCATATGGTCATTACTACTCCGAGTGTTTGATTTCCTATCTTGTATGTATTATACCTTTTGAACATCATGTAAATCATAATATCCAAATAACTATTAGAATTTTCAATATAAAGAATATTGATTTTCTTTTGACATCATAAAGAATATTGATTATTTTCCAGAATACAGTTTATGAAATCTACTTTGTTATACATAAATTATCTACTATATTAAGAATTTACTATATTATATAATTAAACCTAAATTTGTAATTTATTTATTAAATATTTTCATTTTGTCTACAATAATTTACTTACATAGATAAAAATTTAAAAGATACTTTATTAAAAATATTGATTAAATAAGATGTAGTTATCAAACTTATCATTTTAGATATACAATTTAATGTAATATAAACATATTAATATAGCTAAATTTATTAATATGTCTCTTGATTTAGGACATTATGTTAAATCTGGTATGTTTATAATAAACTGACAAATGAGGTTTCATATACTTTAAATTGATTAAAATATATTTAAATGTCAAATTAATAAATAGTATTTAATATCAATTTTAAGTCAACCTATATATATATATTTAAATTAAATACTAAATAGTGTAATTACATTTGTATGTAAATTATGATATAAATTATCTTTTGCTTTAAAATAAATTTTATTCTTGAAAAATTGACATATTATAAAACAATTTGTATAACTAAATCTCTTAATTTTTATCTTATAAGAAATTAAATTGGTAAAATGATTATATTCAAAATTATGATTGATTTGGATTTAAAATGTAATGTTACTTTTTTTTATTGACTACTATATGTTCAGTTAAATATTTGGTCAAAATAATAATAATATAAGAGGTGTGCAATAATTTAAAAAATTTTGGTGAGATGTCAACTTATAGTAATACTAGGTGATTTTCCCGTGCTCATGCACGGATATGGATATTCATAAAAATAAAATTTTATAATAATTGATTCCTATTTAGTTTTAATTTTGAATCAATTTATAGAAATAATTTATATTAATAAATACTATATTATTCTAATTATACATATAACTTTGGGTATATTATTGTCGGTTTATTTATTTTTTGGATCAATAGTCGGTTTGGTTATGAATTTGGTATATTAGATAATATCTATTTTCAAATTCATCTATAATATTTTTATTTTAAATATAATAAAACTTTGATTAATTTTCTTATTTTCATTTCGGTTGGTTATTGTCTTAGATATGTAAATATATTATAGTTAAATTATGTATAACTTAATATATATTGTGCTTAAAACGAAATAAATAATAAGCTGAAGTGTTCGATTTAAATTTACATAAATGAATATAATGATAATATCTTGAAGTCTCATGCATATATATAAATTCTACAAAAGAATTAAATTGTAATTGGTTAATATTTTATTTTTCTTTTATATTCTTTGAGTCAACCTCTAATTTATATGTACAAAATTAAATAGATTATTATTATTATTATTATTGTTATAAAATTATATGTTCTTATTGTAGTTAGATGTTTAATTTTGGATATAAATTAGATTAGTCAAGTCATTCATGTTGTGACTATATTGAGTTAAATATATTTTTAAAATTAAAATTGAAGTATAATTACTTTTATTTTAGTTAAGTCAAATCAAATTAGTTATATTTAACGCTTAAGTATACATGTATTTTCATAATATTTATTTACTCTTTAATTTCGTTAAGTCAAATCAAATTAGTTTTATTTATCGCTTAAATATAAATGTATTTTCATAATATTTAACAAATTATATGTTGATTTCTCAAAATATTAAAAAATAAAGTGTAACTGATAAATTTTTGGATGTTCATGAACTTATACATTTGAAAGTATATTTTATGTTATTTAAAATATATATTAATGGGGGTATTACTATTTTGTGAACTTTCCTTTTAAATAAAATCATATTATATACATATATTTTCGTTTTTTTAAATTTAGAAATATTTCCTTTTTATTATATATGTTATTTGGAAAATGTAAAAAGGAAAATAAATGAAAAAGTAATAATAATCTTAAAATCTAATAATTTATTAAGGGTATCTATGTAATCAACCATCGTGTGAGAGTTAACGTGAACGCGACACGTAGGAAACTGACTTCTCCAATAATATTATAGAGATTTTAGTTAAGTCAAATCAAATTAGTTTTATTTATCGCTTAAATATACATGCATTTTCATAATATATATCAAATTATATGTTGATTTCTAAAAATATTAGAAAATAAAGTGTAACTGATAATTTTTTGGATGTTCATGAACATATATATATATTTATTAAGTTAATTTAGAATATTTTATAGATATAAATATATATATATATATTTTTTTTAATTTATAATATTTCCTTTTTATTAGATATGTTATTTGGAAAAAGGTAAAAAGGAAACTAAATAAAAAATTTAATAATAATTTTAAAATCTAATAATTCATTAAGGGTATCCATGTAATCAACCATCACGAGAGTTAACGTGAGCGCGACACGTAGGAAACTGACTTCTCAAATAATATTATAGAGATAGCACACTCGACTTTATATGTAGATAGATAGATATTTATTTTTCCGCAATTGTTATCTCTATCAACAATTAAAATCTTACTTCTTATAAACTATCACTGATAGTTTATGTTTATTTAGTAATTATTTTTTAAAAAACTATATAATGAAATAAAAATTCATTATAAAAATATTAGTTATCTCATTTATACGAATAAGGTTCTAAAATATCAATCTTTTCGTTTTTAATACTTGAAAGAAAATTTTGTGTGTTTATGGCATTTTTAACTTCTAATACAAATTTATTAGTTTTTTATATTAAATGATTGTTTATATTATGCAGTTGTTTTATCATTTGGTCGAATTGCGGTAATGTGAATAATTATTAATGTTTTTGTTTAGAAAATGTAAAAAATTAAAAGTTTTTTTAAGTATGTGTGCACAATCCTATCATTTTATCTTTTCACACTTTTGAAACATTAATAATCCCTTGAATCTATTTTTCTTATAAACTGTTTTTAGTTAGTGTTTTATAATTATTTTATATTAAAAACTAATATTTCTACGATTTACCTATTTGTCTATTCTACTATTTAGTTAAAATATAATACATATTCTTCCACTGTTCAGTTACTGATTAAACCATACGTTTTATATATAAGAAACAAAACATTTCGCATATGTGTCGACAAAATAGTTAGGATAATAGACATATTAAGGGCATGATTAGTTTTTGAGTTATCACCTGCAAACAAAGCTTTTGCGATTAATAGTGGTTGTTGGAATTTTGCAACAATTATATAAAAAGCTATAAATCAATTCAAATTGTTGTAAATCTCTTAAAATTAA